GAGACGTTGGGTGAGACACTCAGACGATGCAGCTGGCGATGAATGGAAGCAAAGAGAATCGATAGGAGAGAACCCTTGAGAAACATCCGTAATTGAATCAGCATCCCTTCATGCCCAAGGATTTGAGCATGTTTGAGCCCTTTCATTCCCAGGTGGGTAAAGAATGGTAGACATATATGTAAAACATGCAAAGAGGATTTGATCATTGCACGAACCATGCCGATCAGATGTGATCAACTTCAGATCCGCACTTGGTGAGGCAAAGGCGCCGTCGCAGGCTTCGGATCGGAAGAGAAACGAAGATGCGAATGGGTCGAAGGATGGGGAGTCTGGCTATTTGCTGGGGGCGATCGATATAAATAGACCATAATAGACCAAGTTTGTCACATTTTGTGGTACTGTATCCGTCTCTCTCTATAGTTACTGTCAGTCCGACGGTTGTATCTAAATGCCATTTGTTGAGGCAACACGGGTTGAGAAGAGACGGGTGGCCTTTGTACCATCTACGGGTCACGTTCGGCTTTCTGACGGAGAGGATCAGCTTACACAGATCACACCACAATTGAGCAAGCAAAAACCATTACCAAGCTAGATGTTGGTTGCAGATAGAAATGGTCCAATCGTTCGGATTGCTGAAATTTCTAACAAACTCAGGAGTTTAATTCTTCAGGCGGTTTGCAAATATCCGCAACCTCTCCATGACTTGTGATTCCGCACCCATGGATTCCTCGCAAATAGATCAAGAGCTGTGGAAGGAGATTGGAATCTCCTGGTTCTCGGAGTCCTCCGAATCCCTTGCTTTGTCGGAAGGGCGCTTTGTCAACCAGCAGCAATCCTGCAGCAGCTTCGGGCTGAGTTTGACCCTGGCGCCCGAGCTGCTTCGAGGCACCCCGCTGCAGGTGGCCCTGAGTGGCTTCTGCCAACATTGGGCCGGCTCTGTCCTGGTCACCGAGTCCAGTAGTGAGTTGTACCAGCTGAGTCGACCGGTCAAGTCCATTGACGTGTTCCTGAGCCATGACTGGGCGACCTCACGGTGGATGAAGATGTGGACTCTTCTGCTGGTCTTCAACTCCAAAGCTGCCGCCGTGGCATCTGTGCTCTGGAGCCTCAGTTTGGCCGTGCTGAAAACACAGCTGGGAGCGAACATTTTGCCAGGCAACCTTTGGATGTTCTCCTCTTACTTCATTTATTTGGCATTTCTGTTCTTCTGGCAGAGGATCAGGAGCTGCTTACTATCACCTCGAATCGTCTTCCTGGACAAGCTGTGTATCCATCAAGAGAATGATGAGCTGAAGCAGAAGGGAATTCTTGGTTTGGGAGCCTTTGTTCGCAAATCTGACAGGCTTCTTGTCTTGTGGTCCAAGAGAACCTTCAGTCGCTTGTGGTGTGCTTATGAAATCGATGCTTTCTCACCAGCTCTGGAGGCTCACGGTCCTTGGAACAAATCAACATATTGCCTGTGACAGCGGTGGCCATTGTGTTTTTGCAAGCAATCCTGTGGCACATCTTGATGTTTTGCTATGGCATGACTCTTAGCTCCTTGAGGCGGGCTAATGACTTGATACCCGAAACGCCAGAAGTGGTAATCTACGTAATTGTCATGGTGATGCCTCTAGCGATCATTCAGCTCCCCCTTCTGAACTACTTTGCCATGACTTTGATGGATGAGATGGAGCAACTGCCAGAGCAGCTGCAAGGCTTTCAAATCCAAGGTAGTCAATGCTTTTGTTGCAGCAACCAGCACAAACATCCTTTGACGGGCGAAGCAATGATTTGTGACAGAGAGCTGGTCTATGAGTCGCTGGCCCATCTCTATTCCAGGGCTGAGACTGCCGAGACAGTGGATGCGCTAGAGAGATTCAACCACCGCGTTCGCCAAAAGTTGGCACCTCGGATTCTGCAGAAGTTGCGTGTGGACCTTCCTTTGAGATATATAGTCAGCGCGGTGTTTGTCAGCATATTGCCCATAGTCTCAGAAGTGATTTGGGTCATCAGCCAAGGACCCAAGGTTCAATTGCAAGGCATGGATTCTGCTGTGTGGTGTATGCGGCTCATCTTTGTCTGGGTGCAGCCATGTTTGGCCATGGTGTTTGCTTTCCTATTTTCCACCAAATTGTGGAGACTGCGGAAGCTCCTACTCTTCAGAGAACGAACCATGTTCTTGTGCATATGTCTGAGCCCGATCCAGGGCATGACTGTTGGATCCGTTTGGGCCAGCGTTGTGTTTGCAACATTCATGACAGAGGACACCAGTTTGCTGCCGCTGTTGCCGCTCTCGGTGACCATTGTGCTGAATGTGTTCCTGCATTGCTTGGATTCTGGCGGATAACTGCACCCAGTGCCCGAGCAACTGCGCCCAAGTCTTGGGCTCAAAAAGGGAAGGCGGATGTTTCTTGAAAGTGAACAACATGTTGACATCCCCCACCAGTTTGCAAGGACAAATGGATGATGGCATGCTATAATTAGCAGATCTTTTTGCGTTTCAGACCGTTTCACCTTTGCCGTAGAGAAGCTAGTTCATCATTATATATATATATATTGAACATGTTCGAAACCTATGGGCTCCTAACATGCGGCTCCTGCCATGAGTCGCCCCCAAAGTTCAAAGATGATATTATGGACCCCTTCATCGGCTTTCAAGGTAAGAAGGAAGGCATGTTTGCTTACAGGACTGAAGGATGCACCACCAATGAGGATACTGGTGCATTCTCCGTGCCAGGTACGGTGTTTTGAAGTTTAACCTGTTGTACTATCAACAAGAGATCTATGGCAAATCGAAGTATAGTTCCTGATGCCACACTCTTGGAACGTCTCAGAGCAGGAAATTGTTTTTTAATCATACAGTCAAAGCCCTCAGCCCTGTACTGTAGGTCTTGGTCCAACTCCCACGTGAAGTTCATGGTCCCCAGAAATGAACCGAATGGACGCCGAAAAAGGCCAGGCGGTATGAAGTGGTGGGTTTTGAATGGTTTTGACCTATACTGTCCCATACAAATTGAATGTTTCATTGTTTGCCTGAGCTGAGCTTCGAGCTGCCTTTTGCACACCTCATGCGGAGGTGGTTCTGGGGCGATCTATTTGATGGCAAAGCTACCTGCAGGATTTGAGAACGTGGCTAGGCCCAACTGCTTTGGGCGATGCACCTGGCTCATAAGTAGCAATCTTCTTGTGGTTGGACATTGGCATGGGGAGTAAATTAATTGTAAATTGCATCCCAAGCTGCAACGTGCTGCAACCAGAGGGCCCGGCTATGTTTGTTAGCTGCAGATGCTGCAGTTCGAACGCAGATCATTCCGTGCACCGAGGACACCCGTGTGGTTGAGTGGCTAAGTGACAAGTGAAGAGCTCAGAGGTGTGAATCTCTAAGCAGGCCACGTCAGGGTCCATCTAAAGTCGCTACATGTCAGCCCCCAATTCAACACATGTCACTACCATTCACCTCCTCCAATCTTCCAAACCCTCATGACTTGCTTTCACAGAGTTGGATGATTGATGTTTCGGAATCCAAAATACATCCTTAGCTACTAGTAGCAAGGGCATCGCTACTACTACTAGTAGATATACTATATAGATGTACTGTAGCAAATCTCATGGACGTCTTGGGCCGGGGGAGTCGCACAGCCGAGGCACCGCGTTTGCGCCATTCCTGGCTCCGCTTGTGGTGCCTTGGCTGCCTTGGCGCCGGGTAGATCGAGCCAAGGACCCCTGCCAGCAGGATGCCCTTGGGGACCAGGAGTTTTTCAATTGTCAGGAATAAATCCATGCCTTTCTACTCAACCTCCTTGACCTTTCGATTGCAGGTCCCCGATGTTCGTTCGGGCTTTCAGGAGACCAATACAGGAATCGAATCACAGAAGTTTGACACCCTATCCAAACATATCCCATCCGAGCCCGATTTGAAGCCCTCTCACGGCAACTCCATCTCAAGCCAATTCCTTCCAAGCAAAAAAGGCGGCACATCGCACCTGCCTAACCTGCGCCACACGCGACACCTGGATGTGTCCCTTTGCCGCAGTGGCACGCGTGCGTCACGTCGTCTGCGTCACGTCCGAGGCGCTCCGGGTGAGCTGCGGCTGTGCTACGCCAACCTGCCGCCCGCGAAGTGCGCGCAGGCAGCGGAGCGGCTCAAGGCAGAGGGGCAGTTCCTCCCGCTGCGACCGGAGATCGGTGGAGGATCCGAATCGCAGGGATGAAGTAATAAAAGTATATATTAAAGGGACAATACAACATACAAAAGTGGGAGTTTGTAGGAAACCAAGCTGTTTCTGCGCCTCGGAGGGTGATCTTCGGGTTGAAGCACCCTGTCCGCGCTCCAGGCTGGTCTAGCGGAGCTGGTGAAGGGAGGCCCTGACCTTGTGCAGTGAAAAAAGCGCCCTGATGGAGCTCCCAGGAGCGTGTGAAGAGCCACAACTTTTGGTCTTTTGGTGTCATTTTCGGAGCTCACCAGGGAAGATCCCAAGGCAAAGGGGTTAAATGATGTTAGACGGATGAACGTCTAGTGGCTAGAAGGTCTGTTTAGTAGCAGACTGCCTCACGTGTCCAAATTGGTACAGGCTTGCGGTTTCGTGCACAAAGAAGATAATAGCGTATGGCTGTTCATCCTTCTGTGGAGAAGCGAGAAAAGACCATGAAAGCAGCAGCCAAGACTGGTGCCCCATACTCAAGTGACTGAAGTTCAAGTGGTCCGATCTGAGCATGGCATATTAGCCAGCCAGACACGCATATGAGACATGGCTTCGCACAAAATGGGAAGGTTGACTGGGACATGGTGCGATCCTTGAAGCAGAGAGAGCAAAACCAAGAATCCGAGCTCCCACTTGGACCCAAGAAGTGCTGCAACAGCGGTGTTTGATGTGGGACCATGTGGGACCAGCGGACATCGCCCATCGAACTTCAATCTCTACCAGCTGCCAGACATACCCAAACCCAAAGGTGGTCGTGCAAGCGCGGTCCATTGACTCATACTAGTAGGACGGATAGTGGTTGGCTATGGTTGGCTGTTTGTATTTAGAACATGTCACGTTTGGAGTCCAAACCATCCGTAGACCTGCCGCCATGGCCTGCCGGGACCTCTCCAAGCAGTCACTGTGCCTTGGCGAGGTGCAAGAGAATCTGTAGCCACTGAGGGTTTCCTGTTCGTTTGAGCCAAAGCCTGAGTTTGGCAAGTTCAATGACAATTGACCTTTGGGACAAGGGAAATCAAAAGAGAAGAGCAGATTGATTCAAAGTTGTACTTCACTTCTTGACTTGCTTGGTACATGGAATCAGCCGCTTTGGGAGGGTCCATGACGTCCACGGGTGAATTCTTTTGTAGTAGTGGCCACTTAAACCAAAAAGTAATACACAATTTGTAACAAGGGCATTACTACTAGTAACATGTAGTAACAAGATAAAGGTGTGAAGGTGTCCCCACTTGAAAGATAGTTTCAGGTCCGAATTTCGGTGTTGGGAGCCCAGAGGCACCTTGAGTTTGGTTTTGGTGTGCAAACATCGGGAGTTGGAACGGTTTGACAATGATCTTTATCAATGGCCTTGTGGTGGTCCTGAATGTCAGGATGGGCAAATCATAGAGTTGCTTTGCCTTCGGTAGTTTCGAGGAACTGAAAGGTGTTTAGTCTGAAAGATAGACACAACCCATCACGATCCTACAGATTCTCCAGTTTCTACTTATGAATGGAAGAGGCTACCCAAGTAACCAAAGTAAGCAGGATATATCCATAGAATTCCATAACAATCAGCACTCTTTAAATGTGTGGACCCAAGAGCAGTACCCATCTTCTTGTCACCAGGTCTGCCGCAGGCCTCCTCACCGCCTTGACCTTCCAAGCAGTCGCGACCTTGGCGCCGTATCTTTGCAGCTGCTAGTGGGCAGATGTTGGTCAGGGAAGTCTCGTTCTCACTTGCTATTCATTGTTGAGTTGATTGATGTTGATGGACTTTGATTGACCAAGCCTCTATTCCATGCAAGATGATGGTGAAGGTGCTAGTCTGGTCTCCTTTATGTCAGGCGTCCATCTTTCTACCGTACACTGTATCCTGGTGGAGTTTTGGATTTTGCCCATCAACAGTAATCCCCTCCCCAGCCTCCCCATACGCCAACTCCTTCTTGAGGGCTACCCCTGGCCTAAAAGAGGGCAAGCGGCAAGGGATGAGAACGATCTTTCATCACTTGACGACCCAAGGCTGCTGTGCAGGTCCGGCCCCAAGGGGTGTGTGCAGAGGCTGGGGGAATCTGAGAAAGAAGCTGAAGGATCTCAGTTAGGTCAATGAACAGATCAGGGAAGTGAGGCGGCCAGCCGGCCAGCCGGGTGAGAGTTTCCCGCTTCGTGTCCGTCCAACTCAAACGACCGGCCAAAAGCATTGGGAAGGTGTGAAGGGACAGCATCGACTCCCGTGGCATTCCCTCATGTTTCCTTAATTACTTGCACCCACAGCCGAAGGTCCTAGCGCACCAAACCACAGGTCTTGTATGGTCTTGTTCCCTTCCGCAGCAGGTGCTCGGAAGACTTCCGACCAGATCCCCAAGAAGACCACTTTGTTGCGGTCAGATGCACCACTTCTGTGCACCAGCTGTGCTTTCGACCCACTGTGCACCATCGAAACCACGGCGTCGCTGGGTCGAAGAGTCGAACCGACGCCGTCTCGGTCGACGCGCCGCCGAGGTCACGGTGCAGGTGCCGGCCTCCTCCCTGGAGCGATGGCGGCGGATGTGTCGCGAGGAGCAGCAGGATGAGGCACAGCGGAAGAAGTAACTGAAGTAACTGGGGTGGGGCTCAAAAGATCTAAGAGATTGAACAAGGTCCTTGTTCTTAGTAGTTGTATATATATATATAGTGTTTTCTTCCTTTGCCAGTAGTGCTCATACCTTTCTTCAGTCATTGCCAGCTTTATTTGTTTAACTAATCCCGAGCTAGAAAGCCCATCTCAGAAGATGCCCGCCCGCCACAGGGGTGGAAAAACACCCCTCCAACCGCCGCTGGATGAGGGTGAAGTCACACGGGCAGGGGAGCCTCCTGAGTGGCCTCATCACTACTCGCCAGGAGGCAGGTGATAGAGGAGACAGAAGGACACATCAAAGCATGACTCGAACATTGTCTTTGGATGTGTGTTTGTCCTTTGTGCCTACAAACATGCTTAGACTATATAGCTGCAGGCGATTTGCTGCAGAAATTCCAAAGCTTCTTTCCAGGCACATTTAAGCGGAAGTGAGTACGTATGTTGGTAAATGTGAGTATTTTGGTTATTTGCTACTTGTATGGACCTTACTGTAGGGCTGTTGGAAAACGCCGTCCGCAGCAACGATGCGGCTTCGCAGCTCCTGGATGCAGAGATCGTTCCAAGACCGGTCGCAACGGGAGTCCCAACGGCTGGAGCCTGTGAATTCGGAGAAGCGACACAGAACATATTCCTTTCCTTATCCTTTGTTTCAAAGAGCGATGGCCTCCAACCTCAAAGCTATGGCCTCCAACCTAAGAG